ACACACACACACACACACACACATATATATATATATATATATATATATATATATATATATATATATATATATATATATATATATATATATATATATATATATCAGGCGCGGTTCGTCCATAGAGCACGGTCGTGCAGTGCCGCCCAAAATTTTTTATGCTCTGTTACGAAAAGCATCCACAAACATAAAATAAAAGAAGTCAGAAACCAACACCAGCCAAATATTATTTCAAAACAAGGTCGACGCTGGCGCCATAACTGTCATTTCTGTGTCTATAGCGCCGTAAAACATCTACTATGCCATACAAAGTCCACACGCTTTAGCTAAACATAATAGGATATTCAACAGTGTAACCTGACCTATAATTTATATAAATCGCTCTTTGGGATAACCTAAACGATGACGACACTCGTAGAGAGTTTGGCGGTACATTAATATTAATAAGACGCACATCTCAAATGTGCACCCACGAAACATAGCCCACAATAGGCAGTCTAAAAATAAACGCTATAGACTGCACATTATTTCATACCCAAATTATGTGATCCCCGGAGCAATTCAGCGGAGTGCTCAAGTGAATTGTGATTGATTCATTATCTTGCCACTATTTTAAGCGACTCTGTGACCGTGAACCTGAGGGAGATGAACGTGACACACTTAAGTCACCGCCCTACGTCCTGTGAGTTGTGCTCCTTGAATCGTTTCGTAGTGGAGAGATGAAATTTTTTACTTGAGTGTTCAGTTCCCATGCCGGATGAAGAAACTGATGTTTAGCTAAGAAACAGATTTAGTTCCAGAAATCAAAGCGACTATCAATTTACTATGCCCTTGACTATCTTCAACCAGCTATAGCTTAATTGTGCACGCCCGGTTTTTAGCCCCACGAGCCGCCCCTGAGATATATATATATATATATATATATATATATATATATATATATTATATATATATATATATATATATATATGTGTGTGTGTGTGTGTGTGTGTGTGTGTGTGTGATTCACAAAAACACAAAAGGGCAGAAGGGGAGATACTATACAGTATAACACGAATAGCTCAAATTCGACGGGACCGGCCTTGATAGTTCGAGGGATCCGTAGTTCGAAGGATACGTGAACAGTGTCATGGCATCGGCTGTGTCAGAGAATCAAGGCGAGCAACAAAGACAGCTCCTTTATGGGCAAAACAATAGATCGTGTGGTGCTCAACCCTTCCTCTCGCCGCTCCACACAAGCTTAGGCTAGCTAGTAGCTACGCGTGTCGAGTAGCGCGCTAAAAATAGCACAGCTAGCTCTGTTTCTGTGGAGGGAGGAAGGTGGTATTTTACCGACCCTGCCTATTTCCTTTTAAAAAAATCATTACTATTTTGTTACATGTGCACTTCACTCAAAGGACATTGGCTTTGGACCTCTACGGCGTCGTAATAAGTTCAACTATTCCGTGTTTGTGTTCAAGCTTCGCGTAATTTTCTGACAAAGATAAAGATGGGACTGCAGGCACAGTTCGACAGATGCGTGATTTCCAGATTTCATGTTCGACCTTTCCGGGTTATACTGTAGTTGTTTGATAGGAAAGAAGGAGCAAACTGCACAGGAGCATCCACCAACCGTCAATGTTAATGAGGTAATGTTACATATTCAGCAGTACGATATTAGATTAATAAGAATAGAAGCAGGTAGGCCTACATGTACTTTGTCTACAAAATGAAGGTTAAAAGAGAATGCAGTTGTTACAATCCGCATATGTTGTTGGTAATCATAGGAGGCGGCAGTGATTAACATATTTGTGAGGCAGCATAGTGAAATCAGGCGCTCGTCAAAATAATCAAAGTGAAGAAGAAACTAGCATTTTTCCGCAGGTTTGTGAAATGTTATTGAATTTTTGTTTTTGGCTTAACTGTTAACACCTTTCATGCCAATTAAGGAACACATTTATGTGTGGATTTTAAAAAAACTTTGATCAAAGGCACAAAAAATATAATTTTTCAGTTTCCACAGACTGTCAAGCTGAGGATATCTTTGGCAGCCATTTCCTTACTAATTTTACCACTGAAACCAGGTGTGCCCCACCTCCTTCATTTGCAAATCTCGACTTGTATTCAAGACAAATGGATATTTTTTTCATCCAAAACAAGACAAATGAAATAAGTTTATGATGATACCAATAACTCTACATGCCCAAAAATTGACGAGAGCCTGATTCCACCGCGTCATGACTCATTGGTCGATGAGGGAGTTGGGATAAGGAAATGTAAGATGAATAGACAGAGGATCAGGAGGAGGAGTAGAGAGAAAAAATGAGAGAGAGAGAGAGAGAGAGAGAGAGAGAGAGAGAGAGAGAGAGAGAGAGACAGAGAGAGAGAGAGGGAGAGGGAGAGAGAGAAATCTTAAAATGAAAGAAAAAATATAAATAATATTTCTCAAAGTAATAATATACAAAAAAACAATACAAAACAAATAAAAAGGCTGGATTTTAGCACTTTTATTGCTGTCCATGAGGTCATCATTTTCAATACATGTACAGTATATCAGATTAGACTAGTGCAAGAAATTTAAAAATGTCTACTAAACTACTTAAAAAGTAAATGAAAAAATAATATCTAAAAAACACAGAGGAGCAAAGTCTACTGCTTACTGGCAAGTGGTATAAAAGTTGCTGTTTACCGATTTCACATTTACATGACACAATATGTAATCAGAAAAATCCTCTTGTATGTGTACAGGAAATAACTTCAGGAAATAATTTTACTATCATTTCATCTGCAACATCTCTGTTTACTCTTTTTTGTACTACGCCCGGACAGACATCAGAAACAAGCAATGCACACATACAAAATACAGTGAACTAAAGCTAAGTATATAGCTGTTAGTTTCTTGAAGTAAGCATAGAGTGTTGCAAAATACACTTTTATCTTTCTGAAGGCACTTTAAAACACTTTCTCAAGATTTCCATGCTTGAAACGCAACAAACATATTATAATATCAACAAAACAGATTTGTTCTTTATATCAAGTTATTAATAATCAAGAATACAAATCAAAATCTTCAGAGAAGTCCCTGTCAGACGGTGAAAATGATACATGTACAACTCCAGTGTAATTTTTGTTTCTTCATGTACAGGGATCACAGTGAAATTTTCCGCCAATCCCTGAACTTTGACGATCCATCTGATAGACTTCTGTAAATTATTGTTCCCCCCCCCCACCTTTCCACACCAGTTTAAAAAGTGCAAAATAAACCAAAATATAGACACATTTCACTTACTTTCCCCTTGTGCTTGATAGACTTTGACCTCGTATGCTTCTGGCTTAAGTTCCAATGGTTGTCTGATCTTGGCTTTGACAGGAACATTAGGGCCGATCTCAGGCTACTCAAAACCTACCGCAGTCCAACTTAAGGGCGGAACGATCGCCGCGCGAATTTTGGGAAGTTCTTGCAACCGCAGAAAATCGCTGATCCACGGAAAACTGTAATCCCTGCATGTATTTTCAGTTTACAGGAAATGATATGTTCATAACATGTTTTTCTTCCACATCAAAATAATTCAGGTATTCAGGCATCTGGGTTTACAATACATGCCAGATTAGACGGTGTGGCTCAGGACAGAAACCAGCTGAAAGATGGAATTGTGTGATAAAATGTCTTCCCTACACAGGACTCGTACTCACCCCATCTGCATATAAAGCAAAGAGCTTAACAGCGAGGCCACGTACACAAGCACTGATCATAGTCCCCTCCAGTTTGACCGCGAGGACAATCTTGGTATAAATTATCACAGAAAATGAAAACTGCCCCAGGGATACAAATAGGTACAATAAAAAACAGTAATAATATAGGGACAATAGAAAAAACAAAACAAATTAAAAACCAAAATCATTTTATTTTTCTAGAGTAGTAGGACAGAGTATCCAAAAGCAAGGGACATGTTCTCCAACACAAAGTTCCTCTGGTCGTTACTTAACACTTGCTGTACTGACGGCAGGCACACTGAACATAATTAAACAACGGACGGACGCACTGCACTGAAGTAAATACTAAAGGAAGTCACTCTATATGGCATCTGAAAGGTTGATGAACCTCTATGAATTTTTAAAGCGTGTTTCTTGGGCTGTCAAGGTTTTATTAATAACAAAAAATTCTACCAGGGCTTCAGCGTTTTAAACTGGTGCGGTACTTGAGGGTATTTCACTATATGAGCCTGCGGTACTTGAGTGGAAAAACCAAAGCAAAGACCGTCAGAAATTCGTTCACATCATCTTACCATACCAGGACCAGGTGATATTAAAACAGGAGGTTCAACACAGAATTTACTCGGGAGGTGACAAAACAGTTTGGGGACTTGCAACTGCAACAAAGAAACAGACAACAGACTTTGATCCTCATAACAAGCACAACCAAGAGATAACTTTGTGATGGAAAGCAAAATGTTTCGCGTTTTCCAAATAACAGATTTCAAAATAAATGAATACCTTTATCATAGACAAGCAATTTTGGCACTAATCAGCCATTCTGATCAACGCAGCTGTTATGAATAATACATCGCAATCGGCTAACACATAAAAATCTACCAGAGCTATGAGGCAAAACAAAAACAAAAACTTATAGTTGCCCATCTTCAGCACTCTGGCTTGCTGAGGCACGTTCAGTGCAAATAAGAATAAGGGTAAAGTAAGCAACCACTCAGGTCTAAAGGGACAACCTGAATGTGAATGGTAACTTTGATGTTCTACCACCTTAACGCATGCATTTGGTATGACAAAGAGTAAAAGTAACGCATGTTCCGGAATGTGCTTGGATACACAAAAGGGTTAATGACAGCTCAACCAGATGCCCCCCCCCCCCAGCAAGAATAACACCTCAGTTCAGCATGACAGTGGGACCAAGTTTCTCTCCAGTAGATGAACATTCTGGAAAGGTCATTGTATCTATGGCCCAAAGTCATGAATGGTACCCTGTGTTCACATAGGTACTGTGCTTAGTTCATTCAACTCCTATACAATTTGTTCTCTTTTCATTTGTAGATAGATTTGCCAATAAATAATATCGCCGCAAAAAAGCAGTAGTTTTGTCAGTTTCTTTTTGTTCATTTTGCATAAAAATCTCTGATTGTTCCAGTCTTCACTTCATAAAACATTCAGATTATTTGGTATTCTCTTTCATATTCTTTTGCTCCCACTTAAAATAAGGACCAGAATAGTACAGACACTTTACAGAGTAAACAACAATTGACCAATTTTTCTCAAATTAAATAAATACGATTAAATTCTACTTTTTTTTATATGACCAGAATTCGGTTTCACTTTTCACTCCCATCCTAGTAAATTCCCAACCCACCAAAAACAAAAACCAAGACACCACTTGGAAAAACATACAGTAGTGTCCAGCAGTGGACCAGCACCTGGCAGAAAGCAAAAGGGTCTAAAAAGCTTGCTGTTCCTGGGCGCCTTTCTGCTGAGGAAGAGGTTGGTGTGTCGGACGCGCGGCGGCCATGACACGCTCAATTTCCTCCACCGTGCGAGGAACACACGTAAACAGCTCCATACCGTCCTCGGTGATAGCGATGTCATCCTCAATGCGAACCTGGGACAAAAATTTTTAAAAGTAAAAGACCAACACTCCAATTAACACATTAAACAAAACTGGGAGGTGGGCTGCTTCGAAAGTACCTGTCAGGGCCCTGCAGGTTTGTGCACAAGAGAAAAATAAAAATTCAAACTCTTCTTTTAGTTTTAGTAAGAGTTTTACGGCACTTGCAACACAATTAGGTCATATAACTGCCGGAGATTGGAGGTGTTACAAGAGAGTAACAAACACAAAAGAGAAGCAGGGGAGATATGGACGATAGATGTTTAATGGTAAAGAAGGAGCAAACTACACCAGAGCACCCACGAACCACCCACATATTCAAACTCTTCGCAAACAGAAAGTTACACATAACAAATGAGAACACTGATACAGCATTCCCATACTTCAGCAATATATGCACAATACAGAAATCAAACACAAGCACACACCAAATCACACACATACACACAACAAATGAAACACTCACACACAGTCAGTTTTACACAAACCAATCCCCACACCCAGAAACAACAAAATCGCACACACACACATATATATAACAACTCCACTCACCCCCCCCCCCCAACCAACACAGACAAACCAAATATCACAACTGTACTCAAAACGAACCCCATACATACACACACACACACACAGATGTCAAGAGAAAAGAGGAGGTCTCACCCCACCAAATCCCCTAAGTCTGCTGATCACATCCTCCACAAGGAACTCTCTCTGTTGCTCATTGCGGAGCGCTCCGTCCAGGAGCTGAGGAGGGATAGCAAAATATGAGTCAACGAGGGAGAAAAACATTCAATTAACAAAGAAGACAAATGAAGATATTCAGCAAACTACTCCTGAGGAAGAAAAGTAGCCCATTAACTTTGAAAAAAATCAGTTTACTAATAATGAAAAAAACCCAACAAAACAATAACTTCATCAACGATGAACCACCCCCCCCCCCCAGCGGATTAAAGAATGAGAAAAAAGTTAATTCATAATAAACAGTTAAAAAATCTGAAATATGAGGAAGAAATAGGCCTAAAATTGACAAAACAGGTAGGCTTTGAAAATGAGCCCCTGGCAGAAGACTAATAGACCATGAAACTTTCTCAATGAGCTGAAGTTCAAGCTGATTTTCTCAAAAGAGCTAAAATGGATGTTGTGGGTTTTGCATCTCAGCCCTTAAAAATACATATATACATATATAGGTATACATACGAATATACACACACACACACATACAAAAGAGCACTGAGTCACGTACCGCGTCGATGAAGTAGCATCCTGGCTCGATGGTGAGAACCATGCGAGGCTCCAGGGTACGGACTGTCCTCAGTGACCGCAGGCCTGGCTGGTCAATACGCTCTGTTCCCTGGAGACAAAGAGGGAGGGGCGACAGAGTGAATGATTGTGTAGTGTATGATGAGTAGTCACATTTGAGGAGGAGGAGGAGGCAGAAGAGAGGTAGAAGAAGAAGAAGAAGAAGAAGAAGAAGAAGAAGAAGAAGAAGAAGAAGAAGAAGAAGAAGAGCAGCAGCAACAGCAGCAACAACAACAGCAACAACTGTTACAACAACAACAACCACTTGCTCATACATAAAGACTATGATAGACGCAATAAATGATACCTTTCTCTCTTATACACACAATTGCACACTGGAATAACACATACCCACGAATGGGTACGGTACTCCCACAAAATATGCGGCATCACACACACACACATACAGTCACAAACCTCATGATAGTCTTCAACACTGTGCGTATCCATCCCTATGAAATGGTCAAGACTGTGAGGCATAAACACACACACACGCACAAACACGCACACATAGTCATTGACGTCAGGATAGTCACCAATGTCGTGCATGTCAGTCCCCATGAAGTGACCCACACCGTGAGGCACAAACACACACACACACAGACAGACAGACACACACACAAACACAGACAGACAGACACACACACAGAACCAACAACCTCAGGATAGCCATCAACATCGAGTGTGTCAATCCCCATGAAATGACCTAGTCCATGGAGCATGAGACACACACACATACACACAGACAGACACATATACACACACACAGGCACACACAGAACATCTAACCTCAGGATAGCCACCAATGTCGTGCGTATCGATCCCCATGAATCATGAAGTGGCCCAGACCGTGAGGCATGAATGCACACGCACACACACACACACAAGCAAGTAAACACACACACACACAAATAGACAAGCAATCAAACAGACAGACACACACACACAAAACCACCAACCTAAGGATAGCCACCAACATCGTGCGTGTCAATCCCCATGAAATGACCCAGACCGTAAGGCATGAAGACACACACACAAACACACACACACACACAAACAGACAAGCAAGCCAACACACACAGACACACACACAACCACTCACCTCAGGATAGCCACCAACGTCGTGCGTGTCAATCCCCATGAAATGACCCAGACCGTGTGGCATGAACACAGCACCAAGCCTGACCTCCATCATGCGGTCAACGTCACCGCGAAGAGCGCCCAGGGCCACAAGATGCTCCAGAATACGACGCTCGGCCAGCTTGTGCATGTCCACCCAGGATACTCCTGAGAAATTTAAAATATGGTACAAAATAATAACTGGATAAAAAGAGGATGATTCTTAAAGGAGAAGGAAGTAAATTAGCAGGAGAGAGAGAGAGAGAGAGAGAGAGAGAGAAAGAGAGAGAGACAGACAGACAGAGAGAGAGAGAGAGACAGAGAGAGAGAGACAGAGACAG